GGGGTCCACAAGGGCATCCCACCCGGAATCAGTGAGAACGTCTGCCAGGTGGCCAGCTTATTCCTTCCCAGTGGCAGCTGCTGGCCACAGCAGGGAGTGTCACTGCTTGTCCGACCTGTGCGCCCTTGTAGCCAAGAAGGCTAACGGCAAATTGGGCTGCAATAGGAGCATTGCCAGCAGATCCAGAGAAGTGATTGTTCACGTTTATTCGGCTCTGGTGAGGCCACCTCTGGAGTATTGCATCCAGTTCCGGGGCCCCTGTTAGAGAAAGGATGCGGACGCATTGGAGAGGGTCAACCAAAATGATTAGGGGCTGGAGCGCATGACCTACGAGGAGAGGCTGAGGGATTTGGGCTTGTTTAGTCTGCAGAAGCGAAGAGTGAGGGGGATTTGAGAGCAGCCTCCCACTCCCTGAAGGGAGGTTCCAAAGAGGCTGGAGAGAGGCTGCTCTGAGTGGTGACAGATGGCAGAATGAGGAGCAATGGGCTCAAGTTACAGTGGGGGAGGTCTAGGTTGGATATTAGGAAAAACTAGGCGGGTGGGGAAGCGCTGGGATGGGTTCCCTAGGGAGAGGGTGGAATCTCCATCCCGAGAGGTATTTAAGTCCTAGCTTCACAAAGCCCTGGCTGGGATGATTGAGTTGGGTTGATCCTGCTTTGGTCGGGGGCTGGACTTGATGGCTTCCTGAGGTCTCTGCCCGCCCTGGGATTCTAACTCAGGGCTAAGTCCGCTCAGGTGTGCCTGTTCTTCACATAGATCCACCCCATTGAGAGCCAGTGCACCTGAGCATAAGGCACCGGCGGTAGGAGGACGCCCAGGGCGTTACACTGCCGGGGCCTGCATGTTGTCTCTGCCCCTGCCGGCTGGCGTGCAGCAGTGTAACTCATCACGCTGAACCCCCCACAAGGTCCTGCTGGATCACAGCGCATCACCTTTGTTACCCCTCCCTCCTCAAGCGTCCTCATCCCGCTGCTGAGACAGCACAGACCACGGCTCTGAGCCTGGCGTTGCTCTAGCAGTCAGAAACCAGCCCTGAAGTCCCTGGCTTTGGGTCCCTTTGGGTTGTGCCAGGGGCTGCTCTGAGTCACCCTCGGACTCTGACTGGCCCCAGCCAGCTTCCAGGCATGGGGAAGCCCAATGGAGATTTAAAGCAACTTTCCCTGTTTCCTCTTTGGGTCCTATGCCCCACGCAGCATCGCGGGATCAGGGAATCTGGCCCGTTATTGACAGGACCCCAACAGGTAGTGGCCCTCCAGGCCCAATCATTATGTAACAGGCTGCTACAGCTGGCCCGCCGTCCGCCCGGCAGAAGTTTAATCACAAGTCTGGCGAAAACCAGTGTGACTCAGAGCATCCGGATCCAGGCTAAAAATAGGAACTCAATGCAGCCCGTCAAGACAATTTCACTGCACAGCAGATGGCACTTTGGGACTCAAACGTTCCGCTGCTGGCACCACTGCACCCCTCTAGGAGAGGGTGGCACAGGCTAGTGGGCGCAGCTCTGGGTCACTCACATGTTCCCCTCATAAGGGGCCCAGCAGCGAGTAGGGGAGACACCGGCTCAGGACAGCACCATATGGAGATTAGACAGGGCACAACGCTACGGTTAACACCCCCATGGAACGTTCAAGAGCCAAGGACTCGGCAGCATGTCTTTTGAGAGCCAATGGGATTGGGCCACTAAGCCACGCCCGCATAGGAGCTGGAACTAGGAGTGCGGGGTGAGGGAGGGGGGAGAGAGAGAGGCTGCGGCATCCCCTGTCCTGAAGGGTTTCTATTATACACAGGGTTTCCAGCTTGGTACAACAGCAGTCAGCACCCCCATTATAAACATAAGGACAAATGCAAAGGCCTCCACTTAGGAAGGAACAATCAGTCTCACACATACAGAATGGGAAGCGGCTGTTTAGGAAGGAGTACGGCAGAAAGGGATCTAGGGGTTATAGTGGACCACAGGCTAAATATGAGTCAACAGTCTGACACTGCTGCAAAAAAAGCCAACATGATTCTGGGAGGCATTAACAGGAGTGTTGTGAGCAAGACACAAAAAGTCATTCTTCTGCTCTACTCTGCACTGGTTAGGCCTCAGTTGGAGTCTTGTGTCCAGTTCTGGGCCCCGCGTTTCAGGAAAGATGTGGAGAAATTGGAGAAGGGTCCAGAGAAGAGCAACGAGAATGATTAAAGGTCTAGAGAACATGAGCTACGAGGGAAGGCTGAAAGAACTGGGCTTGTTTAGTTTGGAAAAGAGAAGACGGAGTTGCACATAAAGCCTGACTCTGCATAGCACCAGTGCAGCGTTGCGCATACAAGCAGTAGGTAAAGGGGACATGAGAGCAGCTTTCAGGTATCTAAAAGGGTGTTACAAGGAGGAGGGAGACAAATGGTTCCCCTTGGCCTCTGAGGACAGGACAAGAAGCAATGGGCTTAAATTGCAGCAAGGGAGGTTTAGGTTGCACATTAGGAAAAACGTCCCACCTGTCAGGATGGTTACACACTGGAATAAATTGCCTAGGAGGGTCGTGGAATCTCCATCACTGGAGATACTTAAGAGCAGGTTGGACAGACACCTGTCAGGGATGGTCTAGGTGGCACTTGCTCCTGCCGTGAGAGCAGGTGACTGGACTCAGTGGCCTGTCGAGGTCCCTTCCAGTTCTAATATTTGATGATTCTATGATTCAGATCAGGGGACTGAAATCGGACTCTCTCAGCTCTGCTGTGCACACGTTCAGAAAGGAGAGGTGAGGTGGAGTCAGGGTAAACTTTTGAGCCCTGTTTAAAATACTAGTTTCTACATACAGACAAGTATCCCCCTCACGTGGCGATATGGGCAAATCCTGATCAAAGCCAGATGTTGAGAATCTCAAGGAGAATGTTTGCCTGTAGGAAATTGACCAGCCCTTTTTAAAAAAAGCTTCCCTGCCATTTAAATTCCTAGTCAGTGTATTGATTTGGCTTGATGACTCGCTCTAGGTGAAACCCCAGCGTGATGCCTACACGTCACACCAGTCCTTTGCAGAAAGACAGATGGAGGTAGCCAGTAAAGCTTCAGGGCAGCAATGCGCCAAAGCAGTCCTAGACGGGTCTGTGCTACAAACCACTGCACTGATATTTCCAATCAAGCCCTGTCTTATCAAGGACCATTTCACTGCCAAGAGTCCAACCGATCCTAGCGGCATTGTCCGTCGCTCCCGGCCACGCTGCATTTCAGTCGTGAGCTGGATGTGTTTAGAAGAGACTCTACATTTTACAGCTGGGCAGCTCCCCGGGGCGCCAACCGATGGGGGGCACCTGATGGCAGCTGTAAGGGGCGTGCGGTGCGTGCTCCCAGCGGGCTGCAGTGGCCGCCTGGGGCAAGGGCCGCGTTAACCTCTGCAGTGCCCTTTCCCCCGCGGCCACCCACAGCCAGGCACGGCCCACCCAGGTGGCCCTGGGTTGTGCACCAGCAGCGGTGGCTGGGCAGTACACGTGCCGCGTACCCGCCTGCGCTCCCTGGGGGCAGGCTTGCACATGCGCTGTGCGCCCAGGGGCAGGCCCACACGTGCGCCATGCACCCGGGGCGGCGCCGCCCGCCCGGGGGCTGAGGAGCCAAAATGGCTCAGGCCGGCCCTGGTGCCAACACCTGGAAGCTCTTCCACTCCGGCCAGGCTACTAAACAAACCTGTCGGGGGCCGCTGACCCACAGAAAAAAAAATCACTCGGGGGCTGCGCACAAGTGAAGAAACCCCCAAACCTCCTCACCGATGTGACCCCCAAGTGAGAAGGAGAAAGACCCTCCCCACACTCCCCTCCCACGAGAGCCTAGGGCAGGGGTCTCCAACCTTTCTAACCACAAGATCACTTTTTTCAATTTAAATGGCACAGAAGATCTACTGCCCCTTCTCTGAGGCCCCGCCCCTGCTCCGCCCTCTCCCCCACGAGGAGTAACGGCAGTTCGAATTACGATCTTTAATTCGAACTACCTACTCCGTGCAGCGTGTAGCCGCGGGCACGGAGTTCGGACTAAGGCAGCACCCGGGAACATGCAAACGAAGCCCGGAATATTTAAATCCCAGGCTTCATTTGCAACTCCACTTGCCCTAATTACCCTACCTAGCTCGAACTAACGAGCTAGTGTAGATGTACCCTGGGAGAGTTACCTACGTCTGTCTCTAGGCATGGGCATCGGGTAATGTAGGCAAGGGAAGGCATTGCCTTCCCAAAACTGCCTACACTGCCCAGCCACTCAGAAGGGGCTGGAGCTACACTATGTGGGGCCCTGGAGACTGGGGAAGGACAGGGTTGGGCAGGGCTTGGCTGGGGGGGAGGTTGTTGAAGGGGCATGGTCTTGGGGTAAGAAGTGGGACTTTGGGAGGAAGGGGCGGGACTTTGGGAGGAAGGGGCGGGACTTTGGGAAGAAGGGGCGAGACTTTGGGAGGAAGGGGCGGTACTTCAGCTTGCCTTCCCCAGCTGGACCTTCACCTGCCATCCAGGCCCCTAGGACAATTGCCTGCAGCCCCCTCTCCCCTTAAATGGGAGAGAAAAACAAATCTGTTCTCTTACTTCCACAACGTGTGATGAAAATCCGGTCTGGGACATTTCAAGTCCAAAGGAGATTTCATTTTTGTTGGTACCTGGAATAAAAAAAAAGAGGCGTTTAAACGAAAGAGCTGCGATAGGCGAGACAGCCAGTTACCGAAAGGAATTAGGCACAGTGGGCTATGACCTCCCCATGGCACTTCAGGACATGAAAGGCCAATGCTTCCGCTGGTGTAAATTGGGGTCACTTCATTGGAGTGAAGAGAATGACACCAATTCACAGCAGCTGCAAACCTAGGCCCGGGAATACACGTGGCAGGGTCTGCCTATGGAGAAGTGCCTCGTTTTCTCTGAGGGGGCCACACTGCTACAGAGTAATCCAGGCGTAGATGCTTGCCAATTGCAAATACCAGCTATGCCCCCCCCAAATGTGGTGACTTTTGACATGGCCAGTCGGAACGGATTTTCATGGGGTCCCTAAAAAGCACCCAAGTGACTCCCAGTCGAAGCCCAGGCCAAATTTCAAAGGCCTGCTGGAAGCATTCAAGATCTTTGAAGAAAACTGGCAAAGAATGTTTTTATAATGGAAAACGTTAGGCAACGTTGCTCTTGGGGGCCACGGCTACTCCCCATCTGACAGAGGAGCACAAGACGTTCGATGTGCTGAAAGTCTTTCCGCACACACATTAGACCAGGGGTGGGGAACCTAAGGTCCAGGGGCCAAACATGGCCCCTGGCTTGCCTGGATCCAGCCCCTGAGGCCTAGGGCCCACCCCGCAGCATTGGGGAATCCAAACTGGCACTCCAGCCCCTCTACTGCGGGGCTGGAGCACACAAAATCTACTGAGTCTAGGCCCCCCCCCGGCTCTGGTGTGTGAGGGGAACATGGGAGGGTCTTTCTCCTCAGTCGGGGGCTACGTCAGCGAGGGGTTTTCTTGGTCGGTTTGTTTTGCTTCTCACTCCCCTGAACTCATTTTTCTGTGGGTCAGCGGCTCCCTGACCCAAAAAAGGTTCCTTGCCCTTGATTCTTAGACAACTGCAGTTATTTTAGTTTACAAAGTATGATGCTAATAATGTTGGGAAAATGCCCAGTGAGAAGGTCCAATGTTTGGGGTGGCTCACAACGAAAGTTGCAGGTTTACCGAGAACGAAAGCAGTTCTCCGTGCCCCAAGTGGCAGGAGATGGAAGATGGCCGGCAGGAACGTGCAGACGTTAGACACGCACTCACCTTCCAGACTAAATATCCTCTCTCCCAGCGCATCCACAATATCCTTCAGCGCCGCTTCGTCCGTGACATTAAAGAAATGCTTGTCGTCTGGGTCACTCGCGATGAATTTTATTTCATTCAAAAAGGCCTCGGGGTTGATTCCCCGTCGATTATAGTAACCCAGAACCTGGAGGCAAAAACCAAAAATAAGTCTGGCAAATTTCCCACAGAGTGGACACTTGCAATTCCACTGCAGGCAGAAGCCGGGAAGTGAGAAACACACGGGGATAGGCGGCCTAGCAGTTAGAGCACTTCACCTCGGGCTCTGCCTCCCGAGGGGCTACACAATGAAATGATATGAGCCATGAGGCCAGTCGCCTCATCCTGGGAAGGCTGAAGGAACATCGACAGAAGTGTCTGGGCCACGTGAGATGGGGGATAGGTTGGCCAAAGGGTACAAGGGCTGGTCATGAACAAAGACCATGAAGACGGAGCAAATGGTGGTTGGAGATACTGAAGGGGCCAGCTTGGAAGGAGCACGTGCCAAGATGCTTGGAGATGGAGAAGAAGAGCAGCTAACCCGGACTGATGGGACAAGGCAAAGAAGGAGAATGCCCGGCTACTGGTCTGTACCCAGTTCGCCACTGAGGAAGCTCGGGCTGATGCCGAGAGGAGCGACCGCGTCTTGTTAAATAGGAGAGTGACTTACTGCCACAGCATATCTGGTGACATTGTCCTTCTCGCTGTCTTCAATCACCTTCTCCAGGTCCGGGCTGTCGTGGGACTCCCCGTCGGTTATGACAATCATCACCTTCTTCGCACCTTTCCGCCCACCTTTCTGAAAGGCTTCCGAGCTGAAATGAAAAGGAAATACCAGGACCTACCGTAACAGACGTTGCCACGTGTGCGTGTGTGTCACACGTCATGGGCCATTTCCACCGCAAACCCCCTCTCCTGTCTGAACTCCGGCTTCACCTCAACCAATCCCAAGAGTCTCATTCCATTCAGGTCCACGGGACGTGACTGGGGCCGATTCACAAGCCACAAGGTGTGCTTTTCGTGGGCTGCTAATTCTTAAAAAGGAACTCCAACAAAATATGGGCTTCTGGGACACCTTTTGGCTATTAACGAGTGATATTTCCTCCCAGTGATCCCACTTGTAATCTCCCCATGGAATAATTCTATTAAATCCTGTTTACACCAGGGTAACGGATCAGAATCAGACTCAGTCTTTGTATTAAAAAGGGCCCATACATTCGATTTAAATTAAGAGCGATAGTGCTGGGGCTTAGTGTTCAACATTCCTATTCATCTCACGCCACTTACAAATCTGCAACAAAAGAGGGAGAGACGAGGTCAGGAAAAAACAAGAGAAAGAAAAAGTCAACCTGAGATACATAACTTCAGTGACGTGAATAGCGTAGCTGGAGTCGACAACCTTAGGTAAAATTTCTGCAGCATCCCCACAGTGGGGGGTGGACAGGAGAAATGATCCAGTGGAATATTGGCATCAACGGGGGTGCCATCAGTGGTTGATTTAGCGGGCCTTTACTAGACCCACTAAATAGAACTCTGAGAGATCAACCTCCCGGTAAGAGGAGACACGCCCTCAGATCAGAACTCCTCGAGATCAACCTCCCAGTAAGAGGAGACACGCCCTCAGATCAGAACTCCTCCAGCCACTGGGTTAGCTCAGATTTCTGGTTTGACTGTGGATCTGAACAGTGCAACCCAGGATAGGTTAAAAAAGAGGTACCTTGAAATAAATGGGCCCAAATCCTTTCCTCCGCAGCACAAAGCATGCAGAAAACCCACCTAAGCAACAGGCTGGGGGCTTCCCTGATCCAGTGTAAAACCACTATCACCCCCTTCAGCCAGCCATGGGATAGAAGTGTGTTAGGGATGGTAATTCTTGAGTGGTGGAAGAGGACCACTGCATGGTGTGAAACTATCCCAGCCAGTTCCAAGAGCCAAGGATGTCATGCCGACAGACAGCGACCCCGGACTCCCTGCTGTTGGGTTCAGCTGCAAGTGGAGAATTGAGCAGGATATATTCTGTTAGAAAGTATCTTTGCAGCTTTGCCTGGAAATATTCCCTAGTGCTGGGACTATTGTTCACTTTTCAAAACACTGGAAAGAAAGAAAGAAAGAAAGAAAGAAAGAAAGAAAGAAAGAAAGAAAGAAAGAAAGAAAGAAAGAAAGAAAGAAAGAAAGAAAGAACTCGAGACTTGTCGTGCAAATAAACGTGAGTCCGTATTTGTGATTTACCGAGCAAATTCTATCCCATACGCCGTCCTCGTTTCTGTCCCTCCTCTCTGCTCTATGTGACTAGCAGCTTCCACCACATCTTTTACAGACCTGTAGTCATTTAAATGAAATTCATGCACAACATCTTCTCCATACTGAACAACTCCAACCTAGGAATTAAAGGAGCATTACAAAGGATGCAAATTCCACACATGAGAGCATCCATCTGAGAAACAAAGACCCTGCTTTAGTGAGCAACTATAATGTCAGTCAATATGCAGTATACAGATAGATACAACGGACTGCTGTGTGGTTTACTTAAAATGCGACAATTAGGCATATGGGTGTGTAGTGAATAGGGCATCTGTAATGAAACCAGTTTTTCCCATATTTGATTTGCTTCTGTGCGACATGTAATGGGGCTAATAGGTATGTCCACAGCTGAACTGGAAGGGACCTAGAGAGATCATCAGGTCCAGTCCTCTGCCCTCACGGCAGGACCAAGCACCATCTAGATCATCCCTAAGAGGTGTCTGTCCAACCTGCTCTTAGATATCTCCAGTGATGGAGATTCCACAACCTCCCCAGGCAATTTATTCCAGTGTTTAACCACCCTGACAGTTAAGAACGTTTTCCTAAAGTCCAACCCAAACCTCCCTTGCTGCAATTTAAGCCCATCTTGTCCTATCCCCAGAGGCCAAGAACAATTTTTCTCCATGATAAGAACATATGTTTATTTAGTGACCTTCACACAAAAAAAGTGCACCCGGGAACCTTACAATTCGAAGAGAACATGAAGGACAGAAGCCTTTGTTGCAGGCACGTCCATTGCATGGTCCCAGAACTAGCTGCAAATGTCTCCTCCTTCTGCAAACCCACCAGCCCAGCGGTTTCAGAGCTCAGAGCACAATGCAGTCCAGCAGGACACAGGAAGCTGTTGCTCTTTGAATACTGCTCGAGGTTTGGCATTGACACCCTGAGTGACTCCAAGAAGGGTTGGAGGTAGCAGCCAAGACGAGTGTGGACATTAATTGTAAGCCATTGAAAAAGGGCATGGATTAGATCAGCCCCTTTCAGCAGCTCAGCGACTCGAACCCTCCTTTCTAAGGGGGACCACTGGAGGCCTTCTGTGTGGCTGGCAGAGGAGACTCTGTTGCAATGTGTTCTCCATTCCTCCCCCCTCCCTCCGATGACAGTTGACAACAAAACGCCTGCATTCATCATGGGTCCGGATTCTGGCCTGCTCCCACCCCTGCTCAAGCCGTCTGCCTCAGCAGCAGGAGAAAACTGCAAAGGGGCAGTGCTGCGATTGGGAGCCGAGTGACGCTGTGCCCCCTAATGCCGACCCATGTCTTGTCTTTTGGAGGACATACTGGGTAGCTCTCGATGCAATGTTGAGGATTCAGAATTGGCTGAAATCTTACTGTCCAATGTCTTCTCCAATCTTTTCCATCCATGTGTGGATTTTTCTATCTGTGTGTGTGTGTGTGGAATAATTTTATATGCGCACTGAGACATGTGTGAATGTGCACCACCCACAGAAACACAAAACCTAGTGGGGGGCGCTCTGCTAATCAGCTGGGCAGCATCTGAATTTCTCCTGAGTGGCCGCAAAAGTGCCCAGCAAACAGGGAACACGGCTTCTGTCGTATTCCCCCCTTCGCTTGCTGGCGAAGGTCCCAAAGCTAGGTACCAACATCCGCCACAAGGGGGCTGTCTAGAAAGCAACTAGACACCCCGGGCTGGCCCACACCAGCCGACTCAGGCTCTGAGGGCTTGGGCGGAGGGACTGTTTCACTGCTGGGTAGATGGTCAGACTCGGGCTCTCGGACCCTGCGAGGTGGGAGAGTCCAAGAAGTCTCCTCAGCAATGAAGCTGCCCCACAGCCCGAGCTGGCCGGCCTGGGCCAGCCAGGGGGGTTTCTTTGCTGTGTCGAGATAGCCAATAGGGTTCAAAAGAAAATGCAGGCGTATTCCCCCGGCTGCAAACTGCATCAACACGCGGCGCTGTTGGGGTAAGTATCACGAGGCTTGGCCAGCCTCCTCCTTCCATTGCATCGTGTGGGCTGCTCCTTTCTTCCTAAGAGCGGCCACAGGTCCAAACAGCCCAGGGTCCTGTCTGCCCACTGTGGCCAATGCCAGGTGCCCCAGAGGGAGTGAACAGAACAGGGAATCGTCACGTGATCCCTCCCCTGTCGCCCATTCCCAGTCTCTGACAAACAAAGGCCAGGGGCACCATCCCTGCCCATCCTGGCTACTAGCCAGTGATGGACCCAACCTCCGTGAATTTATCCAGCTCTCTTTTGAACTCTGCTAAAGTCCTGCTCTTCACACCATCTTCTGGCAAGAGCATTAACATCCTCGGCGAGGAACATTAACGTAAACCGCATCTCCATTGGCTCAGGTTTATTCTGGGCACCTGCCTTGCCAGGCTGCAGCAGAGACATTTCTCATCAGAAACAGGCCAGAGGAATCGCATACGTCAATGGACGGAAGACGCAGGGCCGGGCGTACCTGTATTTGTCCGGGCCCAATGTAAAACTTTTTCAGGATGTTTATCAGGAAATGTTGCACTTCCACCCAGGGATAGATGCTGTTCGATCCATCCAGAACAATGATTATGTCCATGTACGTTTGGCACCCTGTAGAAAATACGCAGAGTATTAGTGAAACTGTGGCAACAACCGCAAAGTGGGAATTTAATGGTTCGTTCTGGCAGGAGAGAGCTGGAGAACTTCCTAAGAATAATAGTCATAGAACACTTGAGTCCTAGAACTGGAAGGGACCTCGAGAGGTCATCAAGTCCAGTCCCCTGCCCTCACGGCAGGACCAAGCACCATCTAGATCAGTGTTTCTCAACCCCCCTTTTTTAATAAAGTACCCCTTTTAAAAAAAATCATAATTCCCCCCAGTACCTACAGTTTTCAGACACACAACATTTTTTTTCTACATTGCAACACATTTGTTGAAACAGCTTAATCGTAGCTGGGTGGGCGATGACATTTTTGGGTGTAAAAAGTACAAAAATACTAAAGTGCTGTAAAACTTAAAAAAAACATTCAGTTTTCTCCAGATTTCAGTTGTGTTGACATACCCCCCGACTTCTCTCGAGTATCCCTAAGGGTACTCGTACCAGTGGTTGAGAAACACTGATCTAGATCATACTGTAGAGAAGCAACCTGTTTTGGGTAGCCCCGGCCTGAATTCTTTCCCCCTGCCCTCTTCCCAGTACACTGTAGGGGGGCAATCAAATTTGCTGGACACTTATTCCCGGTTTTGGAAGAAGTTGTTTTGTTTTCTTGACGTCACTCCAAAGCAAAATGTTTGCCAGACGTCTGTGCCCGTCACCTCCTTTGGGACGCCCTTCTCGAATAGTTTCCTTTGCTCCCTTGCCTCGTTTTAACTATGGACTTCACTTTGGCTACGTCTACGCTACAACACTGTTTCGGGATACCGGAGTATCCTGAAACAGCTACCCTGCGTCTTCACAGCAAGCCCGTTAGTTCAGGCTCACTAGTCGGACGTCTCTGTAAACCTCATTCCACAAGGAGTAAGGGACGTTTCGGAACGGCGAGACATTTCGAAATAGGATACGCCATTTGCGTAGCTCCAATGACATATTGGCTGTGTCTACACTGGCCACTTATTCCGGAAAATCAGCCACTTTTCCGGAATAACTTGCCAGCTGTCTACACTGGCCGCTTGAATTTCCGGAAAAGCACTGACGATCTAATGTAAAATCATCAGTGCTTTTCCGGAAATACTGCTCCCGTTCGGGCAAAAGTCTTTTTCCAGAAAACTGTTCCGGAAAAGGGCCAGTGTAGACAGCACAGTAGTTTTTTCCGCAAAAAAGCCCCGATCACGAAAATGATGATCGGGGCTTTTTTGTGGAAAAGCGCGTCTAGATTGGCCACGGACGCTTTTCCGGAAAAAGGGCTTTTCCAGAAAAGCATCCTGCCAATGTAAACGCGCTTTTTCCGAAAATGCTTATAAGGGAAAAGTTTTCCGTTATAATCATTTCCGGAAAACATGCCAGTGTAGACGTAGCCATCTTGTTTCGAGCGACGGTGCAGTGTAGACACGCCCTTTGTTTTCTCGCGGGCACGGACGTGAGTAAAGAACAAAACTTGGACTGAACTTCCGAAGCAGGGAGCATGCGGGAGGCTAGGGAACAGATTGCTGCTCGTACTCTGGAGGGCGGGAGCGATGGTCTTCGAGAATCTGAAGTTGGAGTTCACCCGGGAGCACATTCCTGTGGTAAAGTAAGAACTTCCACACTCATGGGACCAGAGAGGGCTGCAAGCCTGGAAAGAGAATTGGGAAAAAGAAAACCTCAGTGAGGGGGTTAAAAGTGGCCTCTTCCTTAGCCGCCGTTTTCTAGGCTGCTAGCTGGTCTGCTGGGCTTTGCTTGGGTCCATAGCTGCATGTTTGGTTTGTGGAAAATAAAAAGGAAATGCCACGGCTTCATTTCAATGGTTGCTGTGGGGTGGGGCAGGGGAGGAGGGGTTCAGGATGCAGGCTGCCCCGGGAGAGAGGACAACCCCAACCCTCTCTCACCACAGCAGCATGGGGCCAGGTGAGACGCGCCTCTCCACGGCTGCTGCTGCTCCCCTGCGCTCCCCAGCCAGAGTGAGGAATGCAGCAAACTGGGCACTTTCCCTGCACTCTCTGACGAAGGGGAACATCCAGCCATGGCCCCGTATGAATCAGGGGGAGGGCGGAGCTTCCTTCCCTAAAAGATGCCTCGGGGGTGGGAGGCTCGGGGATGGTGCAGACTCAGCTGGGGGGCACCCCTAACCAGCCCCTTTCACATGCCTGGTGATGTGTAAATCTGCGCTTCGTTTGCATTTTCGATTTCCTTCATTTTCGATTTCCTTCCTTTACAGTCCTCTTTCGAAAGAGGAAAGCAGTCTAGAGGCGCCCTCAGCGGCCACGCCAGTGAGGAATGCGCGTGTGGCTGGTGTTTGCTTCTCATTGTGTGCGACCCCTGACACATTTTTCTGTGCCCGCCCCCAAAAAGGTTCCCTGCCTCTGCCTAGAGCAAAGGAGGAGTCTACAGCCGCTAAGAACACGGTGCGCCTGTGGAGAAGGCAGACCCTGCAGGGGGTTCCCACAGTTAACGCAGAGGGTCCAGGTTTTCCTTTCTACCAGATGGGAACTCTTGGCACGGTTGGACACTTGTGGGTTATGCACAGGCGGAGTCGACGTCTGACGCTGGCTCCCCTCCTGTCCCCATATCTTATGAGGGGGAGTTCCTTGCCGGCCTAGGGGCTGGATTGAGAGACGTTCTCATCTTGAGCCGTGTGCATTGGCAGCACCAGCAGACAGTGCAGAGATAGCGGCAGTAGCCACAAGGCAAGCATGCGCGGGGCAAGTGTGCACGCGCCGTCTCTAAGGAACACAGCGCCACATTGCACAGTCAGCTGTTTGGGACTTGACATTTCCAAACCAGCGCTTGAGGTTTGCCAGCCTGAGCCTGAGATTGCTGGCCTGGGCTTGCACAGCCATGCTGACACGTCCAAACGCTGGGGGAGGCCTGTGGTTTGAACCATGTCCACGCTGCAGCCAGGTCTCCACTAAAGAGGAAGGTTGAATCAAGATACACAACTTCCAGCAACGTTAATTACGTAGCGGGAGGCGGCGTATCTTGTTTCGAGTTTCCCTGCCATCCCCACAACGGGAGGCCAACAGGAGCAAATGCTGTCAGCTTCCCTTCTTCCTCACTGGAGCAGGAGAGCTGGATGCCGATGGCGGTGCCCTCTGAGTTTGATTTAGTGAGTCTTAACTAGACCTGCTAAATCAAACACCAGAAGATCGATCGCAGCAGCACCAATCTTTCATTTAGTGAAGACATGGCCTACAAAGTGACAGGGCTGGACCTAAGTCACAGAAGAACTTGGGATCTGCCCTAGCCGCATCCTAGGGCCTGGGTCCATTGTGCTTGCTGATCGGAGTCAAACTGATTTTGTGTGACGGAAAGGGAGATTGAGCACAACGCTGAGTGCACAGTGAGTGGTGTAGACGTTGTCGCCCTATGAGTCCCACAGTGCCGACTAACAAAGGCTCCGCTATTCTCTGCAGGCAGGCCGCTGAAAACGTGATCCAGGAATTCAACAGAACATTGACTTGCAACATTGGTTGCACGGGTTTGGAAAATGCCCTTTACTTTGGCAGGCTGGCAGAGCTCTCACATAGACTCATAGAACCATAGAGCTGGAAGAGACCTCAGGAGGCCACCAAATCCAGCCCCCTCCCCAAGGCAGGACCAATCCCAACCAAACCAACCCAGCCAGGGCTTTGTCAAGCTAAGATTTAAAAACCTCTTGGGATGGAGATTCCACCCCCTCCCTAGGGAACCCATCCCAGTGCTTCCC